TCTCCTTTAAGTCTGTTTGGACATGGAGTGTTCCAACATCCTCTGTTAGGGTTTTCAATAGTTCTCCTACCAGAGATTCATCTATCTTATCTGAGGTAACCTCTGATAAGTTTAAAAGCTCCTCGGAGGACAAGCTCCTCGGATACCAACGATTTACTATTTTTGTTATTATTTTTTTTAAATTTGGACATTTTTGTTCCCATGAGTATGGGGGTCAATGGAACTGCAGGTACTACCCCCTCTCCCTGCTGCCGGCTACTTAAAATGGGGTGTCGCCCGGTTCCTCAAGTGAGTCGATAAAAGAGTATATTTTTACCCACCCTCTGCCACTCAGCCTCAGCTCATGTGCCCCGACCTAGCTTGGGTGCCTAACAGGTTCATCAGTTCCATCACACATGCATCATCCGCATACATATGGATGGAACCAACGAACCCCGCCTCTGTCATTCTCGAGTCCCATCGGACTCCCCGGGGGACGCCACATGGAGGTGACAGTAGGCGTTGATAGGGATAAGGAGATCTGGGAACTCTCAAGCAGTGGGTAGGGCTCTTCACTCGATCATTCCGCAAAGAGTTGGGGAGATTCCCGCACCTATCTCCCTCTCTAGACCTCCCGTTACCCTACCCATTAGCCCCCCTACCGTTGGGATACTTCCAAAATAAATAAGAGGTTGTTTAATAATAAACAAGAGATGTTACATTTTACAAATAATAATAATATAACCTCGGAAGATCACTTTATACCGTTGGGATACTTCCAAAATAAATAAGAGGCTGTTTAATAATAAACACAATTATAAGAGAATTAATATATTTATTTATTTCAGATGTGGGTCAGTGACAATCAAATCAACTCAGACAAACTATTATTACTTACACTATTTATACTAAAATTAAACAATGATTTTAAAATAAAGTCAAGTATGAATTGGCATGCTAACCTTTTTTCTATATGCACTGTTTCTTCCTTTGTTGTACTAAATTCATTTGTCTTCAAATGCTTTCCAATGTTCTGCCAAACACAACTTCCAAAATAGTAATATTATTACTGGGGATTTACCCACTGGAGTCAGGTCCCTTCTCCTATCCTCTCTTCACTCCAGCCAAACATCAACTGCTTGCCAAAACAAAAACCTTTGTCTCTCTCCTCTTTGGGATTTTCCTTCTTGGGAAATTATAGAGCAGCCATTTTCTTTTCCCTGCAATAGTAGAACTAGATTAGCTTGCCTTTTAATTGTTCAACATTAATTTATTAAACCCTTTTTATTCACTTCAAACAAAGATTTACATTACAAAATATTAAAATTTGTATATATGAGGGTACTTATACAAATAAAAATACCCACAATGAAATATAAATAAATATAGTGTCTATAATTTTTACTTTTTCTTCACTTTATCTGAAAATACTTATTTCTGCTAATAAGAGAGTGGTAAGTGAAAGTTGTGTGATGTGTACTGCACCATATTTTTTTATTTAACCAGAATGAGCCACAGCAATGCATAGCCAGGTCAGCTAGTTATAAATATTATTATATAAGTAACTATATAGTCTGGCCAGAGACGGCAGTGAGTAAACTCCTACGGAGCGCTTTCTTTCAATTTCATATATTGAGCCCAATTTTGTTTTTCTTTCTTTGTTTTTTTTCTTAACAGTGTCATACTATCGTACGTAATCTTTAATACTTCTGATATTTACGTATTTTCACGCTACTCAACGTAAAGAAAATATAGTGAGAGTTCTATGAGCCCTGTGATTGTTAAGCTAATAATCCTATTAGTATTAGCAGTTGTTTGCTTGGTGGATCACATCAACTTCACTTGATATTAACTGTAAGTAATTTTTTATTATTAAAAATGGTCCAGTGCACGATTTGTAACAACGCTATTGCCCGTGAAGATAAATACAATGTATGTTGTATCATGCAAAGTTATTTATCATGGCAAATGTTTTAATCTCACAGACAAAGAGATAGAAGCTCAGAGAAGTACAAAAAAAACATGGATGTGCCTAAATTGTGGTCAAACAAAGAAACAAAATTTAAACAATGAACCGCCTGTATCAGAAATATTAGCAGCAGTTAATAGACTGGATAGTCATGTTAGTGAGGAAATAAGGGATATGAAGACAGCCCTCGATAAATATAGGGACCTCAGCTTTGAACTGAATGACAGGTTATCGAAATTAGAAAAACATCTCGAGGGCCAAGCCAAACATTTTGAGGAGATCATTTTGGAAAATAAAGCCCTCAAAGCTCGAGTGGGCGATTTAGAGATCCGCCTGAACAAAACAGAACAGGGTCAATTATGTAGATCGCTGGAGATCCGTGGGATACCAGTGCGAGCAGGCGAGACGCCCGCGGCTCTGGTGACCGACCAGTTTAGCCGCAGGGCTGGGCATCAAGCTCGGAGTGGATGTGGTGCAGTGCCACAGAAGCAAGAAGGATGACCCCTCTGATTCATCCGAGAACCTTCACTTTCCGTCAGATAGACATTCTCACCCGTGAAAAAATGCTACCTGACCTTGAAACCTTAGACTTGAACGAAATATATTCCTGCTCCTCCATCGACTCCATGGTTGAGATCCTGACTTCCAATCTCCTCAATATCCTTAACACCCATGCTCCCATAAAAACCTCAACCGCCGGCCTGCACTTTGGATGTGTCAAGAAATCAAGGATCTGCAGAAGAGGCGTGATGCTGCCCATAGACGCTTTAGACGTACCAGGCTTACAGATGACTATCAAGCGTTTAGGGTGCTCCGCAATTTGACACAAACAAGAATTCGGCGAGCTAAAGCTTCCTACTTCCTTGAAGCCCTGTCATCTGCCCCAGATCCCAAATCTAAATGGCTAATCCTTCGCAAACTTTCCCTCTGTGAACCTTCCAGATCCCCTTCCTCACTGGTCTATCCCGTTTCACCTGACGATTTAAATTCACATTTTATTTCTGCCTCCTCTACCTCTTCTCTTCCCTCCTGAGTCATCATTTAATGATGATGACTTTTATTTCTCCAACATTTTCCCGACTGATTTACTAACTGCAGTAATGAAATCCCACACCAATTCCATAGGACCAGATGGCATTCCTGTCAAATTGATAAAATTATGTCTCCCCGAAATCCTCCCAGTTCTCCTTTTCATTTACAATTTCTCCCTACAGAACTCAATATTCCCTTCCTCTTGGAAAAAAGCCATTGTACTCCCTTTAAATAAAAAGCCTAATCCATCCTCTCCCGAAGACTTATTTCCAACCTCTCAAAACCCCTAGAAAGATTGGTGCAATCCCAAGTTTCCAATTTCCTCGAAAAGTCTAACCAACTTGATCTTCTCCAATCTGGTTTCAGTCCCGGCTACTCCACACAATCCGCCTTAATCAAAATTACCAATGATGTTCAGACTGCAATAGATAATAAACAATTAACTGTCCTTATACTTCTTGACTTCTCTAAAGCCTTCGATTCCATTAACCATCCCATCCTTTTCAACAAACTAAAATCACTCTCCTTCTCCAATAGCTCCATCTCTTGGTTCCAATCTTTTCTCTCACACGCACCCAAGCAGTCTCCATTCCTAATCAACCACTATCTGCCTACCTGCCTTTATCCTCTGGAGTTGCCCAAGGATCTAGCATATCTTCTCTCCTTTTTAGTTCCTATATTAATGACCTCCATGACTCAATTCTCCATTGTTCCCACCACCTTTATGCAGATGATTCTCAAATATACCTATCCTTTTCTCCCCCTGAGCTATTGATAGCATTTACTAAGATCCAAGCAGACCTAGATCGAATCTGTGCCTGGGCAAACTTAAACGGATTAAAGTTAAATGCTTCAAAAACTCAGGCCATTGTCATTGGTTCCAAACCCCTCCTTAGATCTTATACCGACTTTCCCATACTAAACCTTGGTGACCAGCCAATCTCCTTCTACTCCTCTGTAAAAAGTTTAGAACTATTTATTGATCAAACCCTCTCCTGGAGTCATCATATTTCTCACATCTCCCGACGGACAGTTTCTACCCTCAAACTATTCCATCGCTTCCGCCATCTCCTACCTCAACATACGCGTAGACTCCTCGTTTTCTCTCTCATCTTCCCCCACTTTGACTACTGCTGTGTGGTGTATGATGGACTCTCGGTGGAGCTCCGCGACAGACTGAAAAGATTAATGAACAGTTGCGTGAGATTTGTAATTGGTGCCCCGAGATACTACCATGTCTCTCACCACTACACTGAGTTAGAGTGGCTCTTCCCCTCCAGTCGAAGACAATATTTCCTAGGTACATTCCTCATCATATCATCAACAATCATCATCCTTCCTACGCCTACAACCTTTTCCAATTCCAATCCTCAGTCTACTCCCTCTCCACAAGATCTCGACCTTCCGACCTTTACATTCCTTCTCACAGATCTGCCTCGTTCCAAAACTCCTTTATTGCTCGTTCTGTTAGTTTCTGGAATTCCCTTCCTATCAAAATTCGACATTCTTCATCCTTATCTACATTCAAAACCCTCCTATTCCAATTCCTATCCCAAAAACTGTCAGATACCAGCTAACCTTTTATGTAAAATTACATATTATTTATAATAACATATTCACATATAGCTCATAACCTAAATACTTATTATAGATTCGACATTCTTTTTTTCTTTTTTTTCAACAGAAACAGATTTTACTGTTAAGAAGAATTTACATTTATTTTTTCTGTATTTTTTATTTTTTCTAAAAGTGTTTATTTATATTTTAACACTGTACATAGTTTTAAGTATCTTAGTATGGTTTCAAGAGTTTTTATATAAATTTTTTTTATTTTATTTTGTATATAGAATGTATAACCAATATTTTTTTTTCTTTTTTTTTTTAATAATCTATCTTTATCGTTATTCTGAAGGGACTTTCGTCCCAGAATAAAATTATTTTTCTATTCTATTATATAATAAACCTTAACTAAAATGTTTAATATTTATATTTTTTTTAACTTAATGATTGCTTTCATTAGGTCACTGATAAACTTCAAGCATTAAATGATGAATTTGCTGCCAAGTCTAAAGAAAAGAAAGAATTAGAAGATGCAATATTTGTCTGTGAACAGAAGTTAGATAGAGCTGAAAAACTGATTGGTAAGTCATTCACTTTGTTTACTTAGTTTTGTTATTAGTCCTATCAATGAATGATTAAAGAGGGAAAAGGAATGAACACAATTTTCAACTTGGGGGCTTAATTCGTCCTTTTAAGGAGATAGATATTGTAACATCTCTCTTATATTTTACAAATAATAATAATAATAATATAACCTCGGAAGCTCACTTCTTACCATTGGGATACTTCCTAAATAAATAAGAGGTTGTTTAATAATAAACAAAATTATAAGAGTATTAATATATTTATTTATCTCAGGTGTGGGTTACTGACCATCAGATCAACTCAGACAAACTATTATTATTTAGACTATTTATACTAAAATTAAACACTATTATTAACACTATAATTATTAAACACTATAATTAATTTAAAATGAAGTCAAATATGGATTGGCAAGCTAACCTTTTTCTATATTATATGTTTCTTCCTTTGTGACACTGAACTCATTTGTCTTCAAATGTTTTCTAATGTTCTGCCAAACACAACTTCCAAGATGGTAATACTATTTCTGGGTTTTACCCACTGGAGCCAGGATCATTTCTTTAATCCTCTCTTCACTCCAGCCAAACACCAACAACTGCTTACAAAAACCTTTTCCCCTCTCCTCTTTGGGAAACTAAAGAGCAGCCATTTTCTTTTCCCTGCACTAGTAGAACTAGATTAGCTTGCCTTTTAATTGTTCAACATTAATTTATTAAATCATTTTTATCCACTTCCAATAAAGGTGTATATTACATTTCTTCCACTTCCGGTTAAAAAAAATATATTTTAAGTGAAATAATTTTTTTTTTCGTTTTACATTAAATTGAGGTGAATACTGAAACATCTGCACATTACTTATTCAATACAAACAAACATTTTTTTAAGATTGCCTCCGAGTTACATCTCAACTATTATTATTATTTTTTAAAATCTTTTATCCTTTTCTTACAGATTTTTTCTTAAAGAATTGTTCACATGACATATTGACACATACCAATAATATACAATATACTAAAATAAGATATGTCTGCTTGTTCTATTCCATGGTCTGTACCCGGAACACTCTTGGCTCCAATATTCTCCTTTCTGTACTTCAAGTAGTAGTGATCTATTCCTGGAGTATTTTTTTCTGTTTAAGCCTCCATCATACGTTAAATTTTCAATTAGTGTTATTTTAATAATTTTTAAATCACAATTAAAAACAATAAGACCTATTATACATATGTGTGTGTATTCACGTTTATTAATGAAAAAACAAAAATATAAAAATTAAAATTGCAATTATGATATATAACATAGACATAAATCAAAAGAAGGGCATTTATCAATTCTGATTAGTAAGAATTAATTAATATAATAAAGTCAGTGAGTGCATAATAAGGGAGGTACAGAAGGAAATGGAAGGAACACAATTTCTATCTTAGTACTTTTAATTGGCCTAATAACACACTAAAAGTCCCCACTCCTGTGAGAGACAAACTCTCCTTCAAGGACCACCTGAACATCATTTTGTATAATATTTTTTTTCTTAAAGAATAATTAAGTTATACTGTGACACAATATGTTATAGAAGGGAAACATTGTTATCATTAGAGGATGCACTAAGGTTATGGAGTGATAATGAAGGCTATTATATGTTTTTATATTTAACTGTTTTTTTTTTTTTTTATTTGTACCGCCAAATGCACAAACTCACTAAGTTTAACAAAATTTTTGAGAGTCCATCTTCCTACCGTAAGCTAGTTCGAACTTTGAAGGATTCAGATACTTCTTCTTGTATTAGGAGTCGACATTTAGGGTCATTTGCCTTCATCAATCTGACCCACTTCCCGCAATTTCCCAGTGCAATCATGATTTTCCAAAGACATTTTCTGTACACGAAATTAGGCTGCTTTGAAATTGACAAATAAACCATATTCTGAGCTACTTTTCTCTTCTTAATTTTCTGTTGTTACTTAAACATTAATAACCATGGTATTAAACCAATGACTTCAACTCATAATGCCCTAATCTTTTCGTTAATCAAGGTGAAATCTATACCAGCTGTCCTATTTTTATCTTTTCTTCTGGTATAGAATAGTGTAGGCCATCGATAAATATATGTTCCATGATCCAATTTATAGTCTGTGATTCAAATCTGGGGTCATTACCATGTTTAGACAGTCTAATTTTCCGAGGCTTGTGTTAAGTTTCATTATATGATTTTTTTTTTTTTGGAGGGGAGGGAAGGAAGGGGCGTGTTTATTAGCCCTATCCTTAATCTTCATAGTCCGGGAGCCCATAGCAAAAAAAAGTGTCATATTTCATACAAAGATTTTTCTTTATAAATCGACCATGTTCACAGGCCTGATGATAAAAATGCACGTCTGCCAGCATTTAGCCGCTGGAATACAAGGGCCAGATGAAGATAGATAGAGACCTTATATAGGTAGAAAACATATATGCAGAGAGGGCTTATAGATATAGAAAGCTGCCATTCCTTTCAATTTATATTATTTACTGTCTTAAGATATGAAATAATAGTCAGTTAATCCATACCCATGGATTTCAAGTCGAATTTACTATTCAAAAAGTTTACCTTTTTTTCAGTTTTTTCGTATATCAGTGAAACTATGTGTTCTATGGGTAATGATGTTATATCTGAAATTCTTATTCTTCTTCAATCGGCACAACAAGCCATTACTGACTCTTGGCCTCTTCAAGCAGCTTCCGTCAGTTTAATGGATTCAGTGCAACTGCTCTCCAATTCCGTACTCTGAGCAGAGTCCTTGAATCCTCTTCAACACCATCCAAACATCGAAGCTTTGGGCGGCTTCTCGGCCGTGGTCCATGTAGGCCATCATTAATTAGTTTATTTTGGATCTCATGACTCCGCCCCCCCCCATCCTAGCTATATGGCCTGCCCAGCGCAACCTGCCAATTCTTGTCCGTTTTTTCCAAGCTGGACCATCCTTTACTGGGCTGTCGATGTGTCTGAGTATATTTCTCTCAAATGGTTGGTGATCCCTTTCATCAGACTTCAAAAATACCAGTGTCTTATATAATCTTATTTTTGAAGATCTTGATAATGAGCTACTTCCTAAGTGCTGGCACAGTCCAAAATAACACCTATTAGCCGATGCTATTTGCCTCCTTATCTCAGCCGAAACGTCATTTATGGTATTGAACTGAGATCCGAGGTACACAAACTACTCAACTCGTTCAAAAGAGTAGTTACCAAGTTGGTCAAAGCTTTCGTTGATTCCTCTTTGTTGACTAGTAGTCATGTATTTGGTTTTATTAGTATTAACAAGTCCAACTTCCTGGCAGCATCGTCAAGGGCAAGAAAGGCTTTTTCCAATATAGCTTTTGACCTTCCAATAATGTTGATATCATCAGCATATCCCAGGATTTATACCACATGATTAAAGATGGTTCTTCCAATCTCTCCTGTAGATCTGTAGGAGTATATTCACAAGTTAAGGGATTAAAGACCATCTCCTTCATTAAAAATAATAATATGCACGAAGTGGTAAAAATTAACGCTACCCCTACCTTGTCACTGGAGAAATTGGCACTTTATGTACAGATTAAGAGTTGTGTAATAACGGAAATTGCAAGAAGTAAGTTTTTCTGTATAGTTTCAGAGTTTATATGATATATTTATATTATATTAAGTTATAATTAATCTAGCTTTTTGAATGGTTGAAGATAAGATAGTAAAATAATATATATTCTTTGAGAAACTTTAATATTACACAACTTTTTTCCTTATGACTGTCGAAAAATGAAAAGGTGATGAGTTAGCGAAGCAAAAACAATTGTAAAGTTAGTCGATTACGAGAACGGATTTCATGGAACCTATAGAATATAGCGAAAAAAACTAATATAATTATTTTTGTTACAAATCTTTGATTTCACATATAACATCATTATCGATAGAATGCATAGTTTCACTGATATAAAGGATTAATAAAAAGTAAACTTTTTGAATCTTAAATTCAATTTTTCAACTTGAAATCCAAGGTATGATGTAACTGACTATTACTTCATGTCTTAAGACTGTCAATACTATAAATTGAAAGGGTTGGTGGCTTTCTATATGATAAGCCCTCTCTCTCTCTCTCTCTCTCTCTCTATATATATATATATATATATATATATATATATATATATATATATATATATACGTATTCTACCTCTACATAGTCTCTATCTATCTTCACCTGCCCACCATTTTGTATTCCAGTGGCTATATACTGGCTGACATGCATTTTCCTCATAAGACCTGTGGATATGGTCAATTTTTAAGGACAATTCTTGGTATGAAATATGACAACTTTTTTTCCATGGGCTCCCGGACTATCAACCTGGGAGACCATGAGCTATGGTGTAAGACACAGAGATCGCTCACTTCCCTGTGAATCTGTGAGTAAGAATGTTACCATCTCCATATGGCAATTGAACCCACCACAGTGGTCTGAGTACTCAGGTAGCACCTGCAATAATTTTATTTTTATTTTATTTATTAATAATTATTTTGTTATACAATTTCATGATTTTTATCCGAACTCATAACTTTTGGGTTTTGATGAATATGAAAATAGAAAGTTTCTATACATGTTGAGTGTTTTTGTGTATTTTTGCAGGCATCTTAACTCACTTGAAGCACGTACAGAAACACACACATCCACGCAGGCACTTATACAATTTAAAAAGTTATTATTAATTGTTTTATGACTATGTATTGATTAAAAAATGGGAATCCTTCATTGTTCTGATTAACTGTTTTTAAAAGGTCAGATATAACCTATTTTATTATTCTAGGTGGTCTTGGAGGTGAAAAAACACGCTGGAGTCAGGCTGCTAAAAAATTACAATCTGATCTAGAGAACGCTATAGGTGATGTTCTGTTATCTTCAGGAGTAGTGGCATACCTTGGAGCATTTACAGTTGACTTTAGAAACGTAAGTTTACCATTCAGGTCATACAAGTAAGCACATTAAAATGAGGGTTTATTTGGACTTAGTTTGCATTGATATAGGTCAGCTCAAATATGTTTTATGTTGGCCCTTATGTATCATTTCCACCTGTTAATGCACAGCAAGTATGAACAGAAAAGGAGTAGCCACCATCAGAGTGATTTGTAATAGATTGACAAAATGAAATCCTATGAATTCTCAGTACATAGTTGTGTAAAACTGCAAATAAGAAAGATCAGTCAGTGCTAAATCTAATTTTCTGTCAATAATAATTGATAATGAAAGTCAATAATATTTTTAATATTGAATTTATAAGTTTTATATTTTAAACTGTATCCTCTCTCTCTATATATATATTTTTTTTTTATACCCAACGAAAGTGCAATCTGGCCTCATTGAGGTTTATTGTGCATTGTCCTATTCTCTGTTAAAACAGACTGGATGCCTTTGTAAACTTATATAGACTGATAGCATAAATAATTTCACAGAGCTTAGGGGTAGTGATACAATCACTTCCAAAGTGAAAATGCTGCAGTCTAGCTAAGTTATTACATTTGAAATGTGATAGGCAGTTTTGTTTTATCCTCCAGGCCACAAAGCTGATAGGTAGGTGCTAAAAATATAAAAATAAAAAATGATTTCACTAACTTAATATCACAGGGACTGTGATAGTTTTTACTGGACTGGATCTTACAAAGCACTGAAATGTCTGAACAACCCTCAACACCATCTATATTATGTAGAGCTGTGTTATTTTTATCTGTTCAACTTCTAGAAAATGATTCTCCTCGGATCAAATTTATTTACTTGGATATGAATCTTTTGGTGTAGGGAGGTGGCGGCTCCATCATCCGGTATTGTACCGCAGTCAGCCACTGGCCTTCCAGGTTGGGGAAACAGTTCATTGATACTCATACAGCACACATCACACCAAAGACTAAGTACACACTCTAGTCACCTTCCCTAGCAGCCCCAGAAGGGGAAGCAAGTCAGAGGGCTCAGAGAAGACAGCCCCTCCATCTGAATCAGGGGGTGTGAGGGCAAATCACCCCTATCTCTTAAACCAAAATTATTGTGAACCCCAAGGAAAGAAAAGCCGAACGGATTAATAGGAAAGACATAATGCATGCCTAACAGACTAAAAAATCCTGGAATGTTTTTTCACTATACCGACCTGGAGCTTTACAGCAGCTCTTAAACCAATTCGAAACATATATAATTGACATTGCTGCTATCCAACAGATGAGCTAGACCGGACAGGAAATTCTGAACAAGAAGAACCATTCGGTCTACTACAGCTGAGAGAATCAACGTCACGTATATGGGACTGGATTTGTTTATAGCAGGAGGATAGCTCAGTTCGAAATTTACTTCAAACCAATCAACCTAAGGATATGCCTCCTTCGTCTAAAAGGCAAATACATCAATTTTTCCCTTATAAGACATCGGATGATGAGCATAAGAATAACTTCTAAGATATCCTTGAGCAAGCTACCGATGGAATCCCCAAATATGGTAGGCTGAATTAGCAAGAAAGGGTATGGCTATAAATGCCGGAAAGAGCAAAGTAATGCAGATTGGACGGGATCAGGAGGTTGTTGAAATTTATTGCAAAGGAGAGGTACTGGGCATGGTGGAGGATTACACATATCTAGGTGCAGTAATAAACAAGAACGGAAGGGTTGACCATGAAATTTCCAACAGGATTAAAAAGGCCAATGATGTGTATTACAGCTTATGCAATACAGTCATTGGGAAAAGGGAGGTAGAGAGGAATGTAAAAACGCATATTTTTAAAGCGGTATATATACCAACCCTTATATATGAGAGTGAAAGCTGGGTCCCATTAACCAAACACCTTAGCAGAGTTACTACTAGTGAAATGAAATATCTTCGAAGGGTAGCCGTCAGAACCAGGAGAGGCCGGATCAGGAATGAAAAAACAAGAGACGACCCAGACACCGTCTCACTAAAGGATTCTGTAGAAAAGAGGCAGCTGAGATGGTTTGGACATGTATGCCGAATGAATGAAGACCATGACCCACGAAAATTCATGGAGGCGAGACCTGTAGGAAAGCACCTAAGAGGAAGACCTAGATTGTCGTGGATGGAGTACATTTCCCTGATAGGGTAGAAAAGAGGTATGAGGATAAGGGGTATGAGGGCTTTAGCTCATAAATAAGAGGTTGTTTAATAATAAACAAAATTATAAGAGAATTAATATATATATTCATCTCATTTCCTGGATTGTAATGGGACGCTGTGAAGCTGCCAAAAAATTTGCTCATTGCAAAGAAATTTGCAAATTGCAAATTTAATTTTTATGTCCAATTTTATGTTATGTATTAATAAATAAATAAAATTTATCTCAGATGTGGGTTACTGACAATCAGATCAACTCTGAGAAACTATTATTATTTACACTATTTATACTAAAATTAAACACTGATTTTAAAATAAAGTCAAGTATGGATTGGCAAGCTAACCCTTTTTCTAAATACACTGATTCTTCCTTTGTTGCATTAAATTCATTTGACTTCAAATAGTTTCCAATGTTCTGCCAAAAACAACTTCCAAAATGTTAATACTATTACTGGATTTTACCCACTGGAGTCAGGTCCTTTCTCCTATCCTCTCTTCACTCCAGTCAAACATCAACAACTGCTTGCTAAAACAAAAACCTTCATCCATCTCCTCTCCTCTTTGGGATTTTCCTTTCTGGGGAAATTACAGAAACTAGGTTAGCTTGATTTTTACCTGTTACATTGTAAAATAATTTACACAATATATGAACTACATACAGTAATTACATTACTGACTATTGAAATATTAACAGGGATAAAATGAGGTACTAAGAGGAATTCAGCTTCAACTAGAGGTAACTCTGTTATTTGACGAAGCTACAAGATTGATTGACGATCTATCAAAAAAAGTTAAAATAATGACATTTTTTAAACATACTTACTAGATAGATGATATTATTTAGTGACATAGAAATGAGGAGAATATAAGAATATGTCATAAGTTACTTTCTGTAACTTTGCTATAAGGTTACTCCTTGCTGTTAAAATATGTGGAAGATGGTGGAAACAATTCATATGAAAATTGTCACAATGTCTGTTTTATAATAAGTGAAGTGCATTAGGGGAATTCCCTTTCTTTATCTTAAAAGGCTTGGAAACTGGAAAATATTATGATCCTCTAGACACGTCACAGGATGTCAAAATTAAAAAAAATGTCATCTTGGACAGGCCAAAGAAATGACAATTGTTGGTTTATGATTTACTAAAATAATGATGTTTTGCAACTATAAGTTTAAAAAATTAATAAAGTTATCAAATTTTAAAGCCTTTGGCATTAAAATATGTCTTAGGCTAATCGAGTCATGAAAATTTATCTCACACTTTCATCCTTATTTAGTAATATTACAGTATATTAAAAATTATCCTTGACAGTTTGCCTATGTTATTCCTTTATTTGTTGCACCTGCTTCAATTTCTTTGTTTTATTAAGTTCTAAATTTTGAATCTTTGGTGTTTCATTATAATATGTGAATTAAATATGTTTAATAGTAAGCATTCATTGATTAAAATTGTTACAGGATTTGATTAGAATGTGGAATGAAGAATGTCTCAAAAATGGGATACCTTGTTCTAGAAATTTTTCTATGACTATAACTTTAGGAGATCCTGTTAAAATTCGTGCATGGAATATTTATGGCTTACCTGTAGATACTTTTTCAGTGGAAAATGGTATCATTGTTTTTAGTGCTAGAAGGTGGCCTCTTATGATTGATCCTCAAGGTATAGTAATTAAAGTATCTTGTTTTTTTTCATAATTCTTGTTACTTTTACTTACCTTTATATTAAATTTATCCACAATCTTTACACCCTCACTTGTGATAAAATTCTACCTGACCTTGAAACCCTTAATTGGAACGATATCTATTCCAGCACCTCTATTGATCATATGGTAGACATCCCCACTTCTAATCTTATCCATATCCTTGATATTCATGCCCCAATTAAAATCTCTACCTTTCGTTGCCAATCTGTTCCTTGGATGTGCCAAGAAATTCGTGACATGTAAAAAAAAAAAAGACGTGAGGCAGCCCGTAGATGCTTCAGACGAACTCGACTAGCAGATGATTATCGAGCGTACAGGGTACTCCGTAATTTGACACAAACAACGATCAGGAAAGCGAAATTAAACTTGTTTCATGAAACCCTCCCTTCTGCACTTGATTGTAAATCAATATGGCTAACTCTTCGTAAACTGTCTTTGTAAATCCTCTTCCTCATCGGTCTACCCGGTTTCACCTGATGAAATAAATTCTTACGTTATATCTTACTCCACCAGCAACAGTTCACTCTCCTCCTACCAGTTTTCCTTGTCACCTTCATTTAACAATGATAATTTTTATTTCTGCTACATTTCACCAACCAATCTTATTTCATATATAATGAAATCCCATACAAACCCCTGTATTTACTCCTTTAGTTGACATTGTGTGAGGGAATGAGAAGGAATATATAATATATAGGAATGTGAGGTTGCACTGTGAATTGTACTCAATTGTGCAGTGGACAAATTGTTCATCGGAAAATCTCATATCGATAAACAATCGATAAAGAAGGAAAAAGATCCAGGGTCAGGTAGCAGCAGCTGCAAGACTACGCCAAACACTTGAGGCTGGACAGTGAGGCGGAACACTACCTGGGAAGAGAGTCTACTACAAGATTTAAAAGATCAAGTCTATAGTTATAACACTTTAATAGAGTCAATTTATTACAGTTGTAGAAATAAATCATTTTGTTATACAGGAATGAAAAGTCATTTTATTCAGTTGTCCTATAGGTCTCACAATTGAAAAATAATAAACAAGGTGAGTCAATTCATTCAAAGTGTATTTACTCAGTCCCACATTATATATATATGTTCTTATTGTTTCTACTCACTCAGTGTCACAAAAATATTAGGTTCCTGAATTCCCAACAACAGTTAAACACCCTCAAAAAGCCGGTATCCAGTGCCGAGGTTTTGTTTTAATAATTCATGAGTGTAAATAACCTAAATCCCCGATATAAAAGCGGAAGAATATTTACTATTCCCGCCAAAACTAATCATTTAAATTTCAGTAGGTTATTTACAAACCCCATCAGATTTGATGGAATATCCATCAAACTGATAACATTATGCCTTCCTGAAGTCCTTCCAGTCCTTCTTTTCATCTATAATTTCTCCCTCCAGAACTCAGTTTTTCCTACTGCTTGGAAAAAGGATTAGTCAGACCAGTTAAAAAAATCCCAATCCTACTTCTCCTAAAGACTATCGCCCAATCTCCATTCTCTCTAACGTTTCTAAACCTCTGGAAAGAATAGCTCATTCCCAAATATCCAAATTCCTTGAAAACTCAAAACTACTCAATCCTCTCCAATCTGGTTTTCATACTGGCTTATCCACACAATCCGCTCTACTTAAAATTACCAATGACTTACATACAGCAATGGACGAAAAAATGCTAACTATGTTAATACTTCTAGAATTTTCCAAAGCTTTTGACTCCTTAGACTACTTTGTACTCTACACTAAATTAAAATCTCTATCCTTCTCTCTTATAAATCTCTATTTTTATAAAGTAATCAGAGTATCTGGGCGTACTTTGAGATTTTTACAGCTTAGGTTTTTAAGTGTATTTTGTGATCAATCGGATTGGGAATGGAGTTTGTGTTTGAAGAGGATATTGATTTTGCATGTCGAATATCTGAAGGTATAGAGTTCCAGAGGGAGACAATTTGTATTAAAAAGGATTTATCAAACGCAGCAGTTCAGTGAGGAGGAGGATAGAGGTCGGACGCACGGGATCTGTTGGAATGGGAATTGAAAGGAGTGTTTGAATTGCAGGATCTGTAGAATATAGGCAGGTCGCCGTGTTCTAATGGCTTGGTATAGGAAGGTAGCAAAGAAATATTGACGGCGGTAGGACGGATAAAGCCACTTCAACTTGGTAATATGCGTACCCCTTGAGATCCCGAAGATAAAGCGGATTGAGCAATTCATTAAACGTTTAAGTTTAGCTTCGAGTTCTCCCGAGAGTCCATCGTACACTGTTAATTTGTAATATTCATAAGGTATTCCGTCATTGTCAGGGGATTTATCTCTTTTCATGCAGTGAATAGCTATTTGTTGTTCTTCCAACGATATTTCACAGTCAAGGAATGGATTTTTTATCTTTAACATTGTATCTTTACCAGGATTTGGAGAGGAATAGAAATTTCTATAGAAATTCTCAAAAGTTTCTGATGATATTTCCAGCTCAACATTGTTTTTTTCCCCTAAATCGTTCTATTCTTTGCCAAAATTCTTTGCTATTTTTTGATTCAGAAATTTTATCGACTATAGATCTATAATATTCCTTTTTAGATTCTCTCAAGACTTGTTTATATATTTTTCTTTCCTTTAAGTAAGCGTTTAGATTCTCTTTTGAAAATGGATGTTTTCTGAATATTTTATACTTCTTACAGACTTTTTTATTTTTAACTTTACATTTTTCATCGAACCAGCTTTTATTGTCCAATGCTAAGTCAGTTTTTATTGTTTTAGTTTTTGAGATATTTGTTTTCATGGCTAAGTGAGTAACTGTATTTTTAAAATTTTCGTAGATGTTTGACGCATTATTGGAATTAAAATATATATTGGAGGAATGTTTTAATAAGTCGAGAAAACGTTCAACATTATTCATTTCGCACTTGAATGATTGTATTTTGCAAAAGTTGTTTTCACGGTTGTGAAGTTTAGATGAATAAAGTGGGAGGTCAAGTTCGAAAAGGAGTGGCATGAGAAGACACTTCCGGTACTTGGCCCACGACCATGTCATTAACAAATGGCATCATATTAAGGTTTATCCAGATTGTATCCACTACAGAACTGCCATTGTAGGTATGACAGGTAAAATGTCTTAATCCGTCACCGTAACTCCTACCATTGATCATTATAAAATCGTTTTCCTCTAAAAGGTTTGCTATTTTTTTCTCCCTCAAATTCGTAACTCTGTGTCCTGCGACTGTCTAACCTACATTGTTCTTTCAAAGAGATTGTATTCAGTCGATTGGTTTTACGCACTGAACCTTCCATTCCAATCCCCTCCGAGCAAAATATATTTACGAGAAAGATCATCTTTTATTTCAGTCAATACTTCACAAAAATAGATCGATAAATTCGTCTGTGTTATAAGTTTGGTTGAAATAAATGTTTCCTATTATTAGTTTTATGTTATATAATTCTACTTCTAAAAATAGCCTTGAATTACAACAATCAATAATATTTGCCTTCAAGTTAGGTATTTTTTTAACTAAGGTTAATAAACCTCCACTGCCTCTGCCTTTAGTTTTCCGTTTAATGGCTTTCGAATTAAATATTAGGTAGTCACTAAAACAACTATGAAGCGAAATATCGTCTTTGAGGATAAACATCTCTTATAGGCAAATTATTTGATATTTCGACATAAGATTTAAATATTCATTATTTAAATTATAAAAATTCTTATACCCTTCTACATTCCAGTACATTATTCCCAAGCCATTTTCCATGCAGTCTAGGAGCCGTTGTGACATTTTTTTTTATAGGTCATGAGTTATTTTCCGGAGATGGGCCACTCATGGAGCTAGTTCTTGATCGGAACTGAAATCCTTTTAATTTTTCTTCTGTTTTTCTCTTCTTATTTATTTGCTTAAATTCTTTGTCCTTATTTTCAACATTAGCCAGTGAGCTATTCAAAATATTTTCTACTTCATCCAACTTGTAATGGCTACCTCTCACTTTAAAAAAGTCTTTTTTATAAACTGCATTTTTATCAATAGCCTTTAGCTTAGTTATATAGTCGAATATTCTTTTGCCTTTCTATCCTCCGGCAATCTATCGTGAGTTATTCTGATATTCATATTTTCAATTTTTTTTTTCTCTTTTGTTATTGACTGTTTAATATGGTTGTTATTGAGTGATATTAAAATTGGTCTGGGTTCTTTACCCTTTCCTATTCGGCAGCAGTTGTTAATGGCTAGTTCTGGAGAGATGCAAGAACTTCTGCAACCTCTTCCTTCTCTGGAGGTTCTATAATATCTATAATTATATATGCCAATCCGATGTACCTAGGTGGGCTTAAAAACGAGTTCTTCAGGCATTTCTGGATTTAGAAGCTTCTCGAATTTTTTTTTTTTTTTTTTAACTTATTTATTGTAAAATATTACAATCTGTCTCAAAGGGCATTTATAATAGTGTTCAGAGATCACATTCACACTCTATGTACAATAAATAAAATAAATTATACAGAAAAATAATATATATACAATAAATAAGAATAAAATAAATAAATAAAAAGAACACATACATACCTATTTACAACATGGCGAGAGAACTCCGAGCCAGACCTGGCCCTACACTTCTCTCTCAACCGCTTCACTGGGGCTAAACCCAGTGGAGATTGTGTAAATAACCAAGTAAAGTTAAATGTTAATAATTAGTTTTGGCGGGAATAGGAAATACCCTTCCGCTTTTATATCAGGGAACTAGGTTATTTACACTCCTGAATATTAAAACAAAACTCCGGCACTGGATATAGACTTTTGAGGGTGTTTAACTGTCGTTGGGAATTCGGGAATCTAATACCTTTTTGTGACACTAAGTGAGAAGAAATAATAAGAATATTTTGTAATGTCAACATTACATGGCATTTATATAGTGGCGCGAAAGTGGTGACAACACGAACTATAGGAAGCAAGTGGTGGGGGAAGCAAGCCTCAGGTAACTCAGAATGTGACGGGCCGCCAGGAGAGAAGGTGATAGCGGCCAAGAGAGAAGGTTATGAGCCACCAAGAGAAAATGTGACAAGCTGTCCAGAGAGAAGGTACTAGCCAGCAAGCTGAGAAAATAGAAAGAGCCACAAAGTTTAGACTGGGAAAATCAAGGTTTTTGAAAACAATAATAAATTTTATATGTATAATTTCTTAATGTATGTATCTAGTTTCTTTATATGTATTTAGTAATTAGTAAATTATAGTTATTTAATGTTGAATGAGTGTTCAGTTGTCAGAACCCAACCGATTTATGTTATGTGTTAAAATAAATAGTTTATTGAAAAAGGAAACTCGTTGTTTGATTTTGGAGGGAAAGAGGAACGTTACAATTTATATGAAATGTGGGACTGAGTAAATACACTTTGAATGAATTGACTCACCTGGTTTGTTATTCTTCAATTGTAAGGCATATAGGACAACTAAATAAAATGACTTTTCACTCCTGTATAATAAAATAATTTATTTCTCCAACTGTAATAAATTGATGTATAAAAGTCTTATAACTGTAGGCTTGATATTCTTGGTCTTCAATGTAGTAAGCCTCTCTTCCCAGATGACGTCTTCTCGTCTTCGTGTCCAATCTCAGGTGCTCTGACCTTTTTCCAGCGTCCTTCTTCATCGATTGTTTATCTATCGATATGAGACTTTTCCATGAATAATTTGTCAACTGCATAATTGAGTACAATTCACAGTGCAGCCTCGCATTCCTATATATTCCTTCTCATTCTCTCACAAAATGTCAGATAGAGGAGTAAATACTGGGGGCTATCTACTACAACTGAGCAAGAGTGCTTTAGCCACATACACTCATGTCGTGAGTGGAGAATCTTGGCCATTGCCAGAACTCCAATATTTACAAACTATAAAAGGTCGCGGGGCCACTGCCATTTTAACCTTCTTGGAGGATTATAGAGATGGGTGGTGCTGGATAGGGATTGTGCATAGGGATTTGGATGATGGGTAAGGTTCTGGTGAAAATTACAGAATTTTGCTGGCATAAGGTCTAGGACAAATGGGATATTAAGGTCATGGTGTAAGATTTTGTTGGTTACTTAGAAAGGAGCATCGACTATTGTTCGAAGGAATTTGGATAGGAAGAATTAGATGCGTTTGATGTTTGAAAATTTTTCTGTTCCCCACAGTTCAAGTCCGTAAGTCCAAATAAGCTTCACTATTGCCTTGTAGATAATTATTTTATTTTCAATAGAGAGTTTAGATTTTCAATTTAGTAGTATGTATAGTTGGTCGTATCATTGGTTAAGTTCCTGTCTTTTAAGTCTTGTATAAGGGTTCCACGTCTAAGAGAAAGCCAAGGTACCGGACTGTGTCTGAGAAAGGAAGCTGGGTAGAATTAAAGTGTACTGGTGGACAGGAACTGCGTCGGAGTGTGAAGGTGATGTGTTGGCATTTGGATTCATTTACTTTAATATGCCATTTATTACACCAGTCCTCAATCAGGGAGAGGTGTCTTTGAAGGTTTAAAGAATCTATATCAGGATCTGAGTCGGATGATAGAATGGCGGTGTCATCAGCAAAAGTTGCCAGGAAGGTATCGGGATAGACAGGGATACCGAAGAACTTCCTTCTATTGCTTTCCCCATACTCCTCTTTGATTTGGAGAAACTTGGCTTTTTATGCACATGGTCTTGACTCTTCTCCTTAGGGCTTTATGCCTTTCTATGTTTGTTCCGGTCCTATGTGAGCAATTAGCTGTGATTGCCTTACAGAAAGTTGGAAAATGTAGGTCAGAGATTTTCAATACTTTGAAACCTTTGGAAATTAGCCATATGTTTGTGTACTGCACTATAAATAGATATAATAAGACCCTATCTGTATGTGTCAGATCTCGACTGGGCCGTCCCCACAGAACAGCAAATGCAGTGAGAGCAGTGGCTGATCAAATTAGAAGAAATCCCATTCCAAAACAGCAATTCATTTCTAGGGAAATGGGAATCTATGTCAGATCAATGTCTTGCATAATAAAAAGTGACCTTAGGATGGATGCATTTGGAAGAATGACAGGACAAAGGCTAATCACTTTCCTAAAAAAAATTAGTGTGGATAGATGCAAACTGCTCCTTGGCTATTACACCATTGGTCTTCATCGAAAGATTTTGTTTAGCAATGAGAAAATTTTTACAATTGAAGACAAATTTAATCGCCAAAATGATCAGGTGTATGCACACAGCTCTAAAGAAGCCCAGGAAGTCATTGGAAGAGTGGAAGGTCATCACCCTTCCTCAGTGATGGTTTGGTGGAGAGTTTGCTTTGATGGCACCACAAAACTCCATTTTTGTGAAAAAGGAGTTAAAATAGCTGCTAAATACTATCAGGACGATATTTTGGAACCTGTTTTCAAGCCTCTAAATGATACTCTGCTAGAAGTCATTGGGTTTTTCAGCAGGATTTCTGCTCCAGCACACAAGACTAGGTCAACTCAGCAGTGGCTGCAAAAGAACATTCCAAAGTTCATCTCTGCCTCAGATTGGCCTTCAGGAAGCCCTGATCTCAACCCACTAGATTATCAGCTTTGGTCACGGGCGGATCTATGGGGGGGGGGGCTTTCGGGCTGAAGCCTCCCCCCAAAATGGAAAAATATAACCATGTTATATGGAGAAAAAAATTTAAAAAATACCTCTTAAAGTATTATTATTCGGGTAATTACATTGAATAGTACTTAAGGAATAACTTAAACACCATTTCATATAGGTAGTTAGTTTCTTTCTGTTTTTCCAAAGTAATTATCGTTATTTTTATGAAAAAAAAGGTTTCAGGCTCAAGCCCCCCCCCCAAAATTAAATCCTGGATCCGCTAGTGGCTTTGGTCCATACAGAAGATGATGGCATGCCATAGAGCACACCCTAACTTCGGGAAGCCTCAAACAATCTCTGGTCCGAGCAGTCGAGCGCTTTTCTCAAGAAGTGCTGTGTGCTGCTATTGATGACTGGCCACGGAGGTTAATTGTCTGTGTCAAGGTAAAAGGGAGACATGTATTTTTTTCAACAGAAATACATGTTTTGGTCTCCTGAGTCAAAATAACCAAGTCCCGCAAAATGGTTTGTGTGTGGGTGTGTACGTACTTGTATGTTTTTTAATAACCTAGCTCAAAAACGAAAAGTCATACAAAAGTGAAATTGCATATTTAAGGTTTGTATATGCCTCAGATGTTACATCAATTTTTTCTTCAAAATCGGTTAACTGGAAGTGGCTCTTTATATCATCGATTTAAAACATTTTTCTCAAAAACGGTTTTAACGATTTTGATTAAACTCACTAGGTCAGTGTGTTATTAAGAAGTTTTTAAGATAGATTTTATTCTCATTGATGTTCTCTAACAGGGCTTAAATTTCTTATTTTCAGTATTTCTTATTTTTAACTTAAATTGTCCACCCAAAATGTTATTATGTAAAATTCATCTTATTTAATAATTCATAGGTCAGGCCAACAAATGGGTAAAGAATATGGAGAAGGAGAATAAACTGTGTATTATTAAGTTGACTGATTCAAACTACATGAGGACTGTGGAGAAAGCTGTTGAACTAGGACTACCTGTGCTACTAGAAAACATTCTGGAAGATATAGATGCTCCTCTTGGTAAATAATTTTTATATAAATTAATTTACATTATATCTGTGCATAGTGTATTGAGTGCAAAAATCATATTTTTGAAAAATGCAATTGAAAGGAATTTTCACAGGCACCACAAGTTCAATTTTCGAGTTTCAACCCATGATTCACAAAGGAATTTTCATCTCGTTGATTGCTACATAACTTAGTCCATTAAATAAAAAGAAAAAGAGAAAAATTAGATTTCTGGTGATACCCACAAAAATACACAAAATTATACTTAACACACTATGTACAGGTGCCACAGATATATTATATGTGTTGATGGTTGAATATCGGATAAATCAATAAGGAAATGGTCTGAGAATCAGTCCAGAAATGAAATAAAAAAACTGCTAACTATTTATCAGTCTGGGACTGGCCTTCAAAGTGTTCAAATCATTCTTACATTCCATACTTTTTCTAATATTTCTTTACTCTTCTGGCAGAAGTAAGTAACTTTTCATTGTTCAAGTGACCATAATAGTGTTAGGAAAGAAGCTATTTATTGCGATAAACAGCAAGTGAGTCATAAATAAAGGCTGATTGCCCCTCCCTAAGCGCTCCTACCACGCCTTTACTAACACTTTGTCATTCACAACTTCTAATAAACACTAAATAATAATGACAATGTGTCATATTTTTCAAGTGGCTATTGCCAGAGAAGACAAGAAGGATATCATGTGTTATGTTTGAAAAATTTTGCAACATAGAAATGGGTAAAAATAAATGAAAATGAAGCCACGTTATCAAAAAAGAATCAATGGATCAATAATAACTGTGAAAGTTCAGCGAAGTCAAATGTAGCAAGGCAATATAATGTTATAGCAAGCAGAAGTATGAAAGATAATATTGCAGCAGTACTTATGGGAATTGCAAAAATCATCAACAACACAAAAGATATATATTATATTATATTATATATATTAATAATGCTCTAAATAAACATGGGGATTTAATTTTTGAAAATTTAGAAAAATTAGAAATTATCGAGGAAAGGATCAAAAGACAAGATGAAATAAAAAAGTTACTTCTCAAAAATAATAATTTAAAAACACATATTAAAAAACTGGAAGTAAGAATTAACCAGGTGAAACAGGCTCAGCTTTCCCACTCTTTGGAAATCAGAAGAGGTATTCCGGTGAAAATCGAAGAAACGTCTGAGAGCGTAATCTGCTCAGTAGATACAGCTCTGGGCATTAAGCTCAGTACCAAACATCTGGACACAGTGTAAAGAAGAAAATCCAAAAAAAGAAGACCTTCGGGCATTGCCTATTATAGTGTATTTTGTCCGTCAGACCACTTGTGACGAGATGATTGGCTCCAGAAAGTTAAAAGAGACATACAAAGCACCTTGAATGGAAGAATGGTAACAGGATTTACATTGCTGAAGCAATGTCACCTGGAACAAACATCTTTATTGGCTTGCTGCAATAATGTCTGGTTTTCAAGAGGATGTGTATATTGCAGACGTGAAGATGGTCAACCCATAATCATCATAAATTAAAGCAGATCTTAATGTATTCCAATGACTCATTTTCAATCGTTATGGCAAACATATTCATTTATTTTTCTTCTATAATTTATTTTGTTATATTTACTCCACTTATTTGCTGTATAATTGTAAATTTATCTTAGATTTATACTATTTCTTTTTATTTATAATTATATTCTTAAGAAATATTGTATATTTACTCGAAAATATAAACTTTTCCTTGTACTTTGTAAATATTGTGTTAAAGGTTAATTGTCAATGACCTTTTTGGCAGGCAATTGCGAATAGCCTTCCGCTTTAGTTGGGGAACTAGGTTATTTACACTCGTGATTATTAAAACAAAACCCCAGCACTGGATGTAGACCTTTTGAGGGTGTTTAACTGTTGTTGGGAATCTAATACCTTTGTGACACTGAGTGAGGAGAAAAAACAATAAGAATATATTTATATATATACAGGGGGATGTCTACTGCGTATCCATACCGTTTAACTTTTAAATTTTGTGTTCGAGTGAGAATAACAAAATTTAAGAAAAATGACCGTGATGAAATGAACTTTTTGTGTGTGATGGAAATTTGAAATTTTAATGTACATACTTAAAATCATTCCTAAATGTACTCATAAATCGGTGAAAAAAGAAATTATTTAAATGATTATATACAAAATAAACGATATATAAAATTATACAATATATAAAAAATACACAATATATAAAAAATCAGCGGTTTTATTTGTAAGAGAAAATTTATTGGATAGTTTAAGATGAACACCTAAACTCCATTATTGTTAATTAAACATGAATACAAAATTTTAACAAAGAAACTAGCTTATATCTACCATGGAAATGAATTTACGAGTAATCCCTATTATTTATTGTTAAACCAGTTTGTTGATAACTATTATTTATTATTTATTTTTTATTTTATATCCATAAGATGAAGCCTGTGTTTATAACCATTAAATTCCAATATATTCTTTGGTACTTTTTGTCTAAGTGGCCGCTTTGAAACCTCACTTCTTATCTATCTTCATGTCATCATGTCACATAACCATCTTCTTATCCCGCCAAACTTTTGAGTTATTGCATTGTTTAGTTTTCAGTTATTCCCTTATTACGTTCACTTATTAAATTGTTTACTTTTGGCCCGTTTGTGTTTATTTTACATTTTTTTTTAGTTTGTGACCTCTTGGTGTTTATTTTTCATTTTTTTTTTCGTTTATTTTCGCCATATTATAGATCTTCTTTAGAATATGGGATTTACCGTCTTCAGAAGAACAGGCAATTCAGTATTTTCAAAATGTTGGGGTACTTGCCGACGTAAAATTGTGTGAACGAGATCATCAAATGAAGTTAACCAAGAAGGCCAAATGGAGATGCTTTCGTAAGACTTGTGACACAAAACTTTCAATAAGGAAAGGAACATGGTTGGAGGGTTCGAGGATTTCGTTTTTAACAGCTTTAAAATTGATTTATGGGTGGTCCCATAGCTTGACAACGATCAAGTGGGGCAAAGAGCAGCTGAAACTATCCTACGGAGCTATGGTAACACACAAGTGAAACAAATTTCGAAGAGAGGTTTGTGCCCATGACATGTTATACAGGCCAAGAAAAAAAAATTGGAGGACCTGGCAAAGTGGTTGAAGTAGACGAAAGTCTTTTTTCTAAACGAAAAAATCATGTGGGGAGAGTTTTACCTCAGCAGTGGATGTTTGGTGTAGTTTGCCGAGAAACAGATGAATGTTTTATCATCAAAATAATTGACAGAAAGGCAACAACATTATTACAAGCCATTAAAGAAAATATAGAAGAGGGAACTACCATTTATTCGGACTATTGGAAAGGATACAACACCCGACAACTGAACGAAGCAAACTATGACCATTTCCAAGTGAATCACCGGTATAATTTTGTCGATCCATCAACTGGGGTTCATACTCAACACATAAAACGATTGTGGGGCTCAGCTAAGTGGAGAAATAAAGTACATAGAGGAACTGCCAGGCAACACCTCGATTCATATTTGTGCGAATTTTTGTGGCGGCGGGTTCACAGAGAAGAGGACCTGTTCCTCGCTATTTTAAGTAGCATAAAACGATTTTGCCTTCCAAAATAAATAAGACAAAAGGAAGTGAATAATTAACTTAAAATAATTTGTATATACATTGTTTATAGTGTTGATATTTTTTCTTTTCTATGTAAATATGTTCTTTTAAATTTGTTTTTTTAAATTTCATTTTGATGTTTTATATGTACATATCTTCTTAAAGTGTTTTTTTTATTATTTCATTAATATATTTGTCGTCAAATAAAAGTATTTTTGTTGTTATTAAATTTGTTTTTGTATCTGTTTACACTTTCAATAATACGAATTTAATACAATAATACGAAGATGTGAAGTAGGAGAAGGCTTATCATTGCGTTATGGGAGTTATCAGTGTTCAGGTTATAAAAATTGGCAGATAGCAGTAAGTAGCTTAGACAAAAAGTACCTATTCTTTTATCATTCTCCTAACCTGGGTCTATAGTGCCAACTTTTTCTTTTATTCGGTAAGATCCCTTATCAGCTTTAATTTCTTCTTGATCCCTGATGTCTATAACTTTGTCCTTAGGTTTAGAAAGTCTATCATTAGTTATGATGTCGGTTAAAGGTTCTCCTTTTTCATTTTCACTTATGAATGTCAACATCAGTCTCTTCTATAACTGGCAAATCAGGATTGATGTTATCAGATCTAGACTCATCTTCCTTCAGAATTTCTTTTTCTTCATCAATGTTCTCTTTTTCAGCTCCTGATGGCTCACTATCATTGGCTATTTCAGCCATAGATTCTTCACAAATAACAGTATTCCCACAATTCTTTCCATCATCAGTGGTTTCCTTTATTTCTTCATTAGTATAACTTCCATTTAAATTTTCATTATTATCAACTACAATGTTTTCAGTACTTTGTACATTTGTAGGGCACTCATCATGTTTAGTTTTCATAGAGCTTTCATCATCATTACCTCCTAGTAGCTCCTCATCTTGAAAAGAGGAGCTCTGTGTGATAGTGACATCTTCAGACTTGATGTCTTGTTTATATATTTTCACGGAACGGCCATAGAGACCACGCGAATATCATGACATTTGGCTTCTTTCTTGTTTTTCCTTTCTTTCCACTTCTCTCTCATTATCTCCGAGTGCCGCCGCTTTCTCTCCTCCGTCCACGCGACTCCCTTTCTCGAACTTTTCTTCTTAGCAAGAACCGTGATCTCCTTTAGTCTCTTACCATACCCCTCTCTGTCCAGACAGTCCCGGTCCGTTATTCCAAGTCTTTCCGTTTCTTCCTTCATCTGCCTGATGTATCCTCCCAAGCTTTTGTATCTACGGATTTTTTGGAATATTTCCTTGTTAAGTCTTTCTGGGGCCATTCTTACCATATGTCCGTGGAATTTCAGTCTCCTGATCCTAATTTCCGTTTCTAGATCTCTTTTGTCCTTGTATATTTCCTGATTGGATCTTAGCCTGTATCCTTCTTTTGTTTTTTTGGGGCCGTAAATCCTTCTTAGAATTCTTCGCTCTATTCTCAACAATTTTTCCAGACTGGGGAGGAATGTGGTTTCCGTCCCGTATAGTATCACAGGTTTAACAACTGTATTGTAGTGTTGTATTTTCGCTTGCTTGGACAGGTTTCTCTTGTTGTATATGTTACTGGTTGCAAAACTTAGTTTTTCCAATTTGGCTATTCTTTCCTTGATACTTTCTTTTTCGGAACCATTATTACATATAGTCTCACCCAGGTATTTAAATTTATTTGTTACATTTATTGACCCTTATTTGGTTTCCACTGTTTTTTTCTTGAAGTCTGCGTCTGTGGTCATTAGTTTTGTTTTTTCGTAGGAGATTTGGAGACCAATCTCCTTGGTCTCCAAATCTCCTACGAAAAAACAAAACTAATGACCACAGACGCAGACTTCAAGAAAAAAACAGTGGAAACCAAATAAGGGTCAATAAATGTAACAAATTATTAACAAATTATTATTTTGTTCTATTTATTTTATTTTTTTGTACATATGGTGTGAATGTCATCCTACCTCACTATAACCAATGTCCAACAGACAGATTGTTATAATACTCAATAAAGAAATTAAAAAAAAAAAAATAAGAGAAAAAAAATAATGTCTAAAGAAAATTAAATCCTTATAACATAGTATGTATTTAACCAGCGTCTGATTGGATTGTGAAGAGGAATTGGAATAAGAGGGTTTTAAAGGTGGATAAGGATGATTCATGGCGGATTTTTAGTGGGATGGAATTCCAGAATACAGTGGAACGGACAACGAAGGAATGTTTAAATGATGCAGATCTGTGGAAAGGAGTGTAAAGGTCAGAAGGACGAGATCTTGTGGAGAGGGTGTGGATAGATGATTTGAATTGTAGGAGATTGTATGCGTAGGACGGACGATGACTATTGATTATTTGGTAAAGGAATGTGCCTAGGAAATATTGTCTTCGGAAGGAAGGGAAGAGCCATCCTAATTCAGCATAGTGGTGCGAAACACGGGAATACCTCAGGGCCCCTGTGACAAATCTTACGAAGGCATTCATAATTCTTTCCAGTCTCTCCCCGAGTTCTGCCGAGAGACCACCGTACACCACGCAGCCGTAATCAAGGTGGGGGAAGATGAGGGAAGTTACTAGGAGTCTACGTGTGGAGATGGGTAGGAGATGGCGGAAGCGATGGAATAGTTTCAAGGTACCAATTGACTGTCGGGTAATGTGAGCAATATGGTGTTTCCAGGATAGGGTTTGGTCTATGAAAATGCCTAGGTTTTTTACTGAGGAGGTGAAGGTAATGGGATGGTCATTTAGGTACAGTATAGGTATGTTGGTATTGGCTCTGAGAAGGGGTTTGGAACCAATGCCAATGGCTTGAGTTTTTGCAGCGTTTAACCTTAACCCATTTAAGTTTGCCCAGGCACTGATCCGATTCAAGTCTTCTTGAATTTTGGCAAACGCTTCATGCAACTCTGAGGGATGGAAGGAAAGGTAGATTTGGGAGTCATCGGCGTAAAGGTGATGGGAGCAGTGAAGGATTGAATTATGGATGTCATTGATATAAGAACTAAAAAGGAGGGGAGATATGCTAGAGCCCTGGGCCACTCCTGCGGACAAAGTAAGATAGGAAGACAAGGGTTGATTAGGAATAGCGACAGCTTGTGAGCGTTGGGAGAGGAATGATTGAAACCATAGGATAGAACTATGGGAAAAGGATAATGATTTTAATTTGGAAAAGAGAATGGAATGGTTGATGGAATCAAAGGCTTTGGAAAAGTCAATGAGTATAAGGACAGTTAGTTTTTTGTCATCAATGACGGACTGAACATCATTAATGATTTTGATTAGGGCGGATTGTGTGGAATAACCTGGTCGGAAACCAGATTGGTAAAGGTCAAGTTGATTGGACTGTTCAAGAAAGGTGGAAACTTGGGATTGCACAATTCTCTCCAGGGGTTTGGAAAGGTTAGAAAGGATTGAGATTGGCCGGAAATCTTCAGGGGAAGACGGATTAGAACTTTTATTTAAAGGACGGACTGTGGCTTTTTTCCACAAGGAAGGGAATACTGAATTTTGAAGGGAAAAATTGTAGATGAAAAGGAGTACCAGAAGGATTTCAGGGATGCATAATTTAATTAATTTGACGGGAATGCCATCTGGACCAATAGAATTAGAGTGTGATTTCATCACGGCGGATATGAGGTCTGTGGGAGAAATATCTGAAAAATAAAAATTGGCATCATTGAAAGATGTGAAAGATGTTCCAGGAGGTAAGAAGGAAGGGAGAAATGAAGGAGTTGAAGAGGAAGCAGATATAAAATAAGAATTTAAGTCATTTGATGAAACTGGGGGCACTGCAGAGGGAGGAGATCTGGTAGGATCACAAAGAGAGAGTTTACGAAGGAGTAGCCATTTGGATTTGGAATCAGGAGCTGAGGAAAGGGCCTCATGGAAATAGGTAGATTTGGCTCGTCAGATTGTGGTTTGTATCAGGTTGCGGAGCGCCCTGAACGCTTGATAGCTTAGAACTAATAATTTTAATATTAGTTATATGGGAGTATCAAGTGTCATGGCCGCAACTGCAGTCCAATATTCGTATCATTCTGTCTTTGCTACTTTGTCATCTGGTTATTATCTGAAATCCTATTCTCAGACTTTGCAAACAGTGAGTTTATAATGGCGTAATTAATATTTATTAATTATTAAACAACCTGAAAGGAATTAACTATTATTTTTTATGTATATTGGATGAATATAATACAATTAAATGGATGATAAACATTAAAACATGAATGAAAGTCATATGTTTTTGAGCTGAACAGTGGAGCCGTCCTATCATGTCGTGACGGATCCAGTGTAACCACTGCCTTAATGTCCCAGCCTCAAGTGCCTTCTCTTCTCTCCAGCGTCCTCCATCAGCTATTGCTACCTGCTCCGTCCTTTTTCCAGCGTCCTTCTTCATCGACTGTTTATTGATATGAGACTTTTCCATGAATAATTTGTCCAGTGCATAATTGAGTACAATTCATCGTGCAACATCGCATTCTTATATATTCCTTCTCATTCCCTCACACAACGTCGCATAAAGGAGTAAATACAGGAGAATGTCTACTACAACTTAAGACTAATTTCTGATAGACAATATGCTCTATCCTCTTCATTAATTATCTATATTAGTTGGAAAAGTCATTTCCTTTTTTCAGGTGTCAATTGTCTTTTTCATGTTTGTAGTTTCTTAATTTGCAATACCACACATAATTAGTATTGTTCCTCTCCTTTCCGAACTCCTACTGAACCCTCTTTACATCCTTCTCTACCCTCATATGATTAATACCCTATTAACTTGTCAGTTAACACCCAATCCCTTCCGCCACATTTTGATGAATTCCTATATTATTTCCTCCATAAATTTTATCACATTATTGCCATATCAGAAACCTGTTTTAAACCAAATGTTCCTTCCTCTTCCTTATCCATTCCTAACTATGCCCTCATTCGTCATGATCGAACAGACCGAACAGGTTCATGGAACCTGTTTGTTGAAATTTCCTCAGATTCATTTTAACTTCTTTATGTTCTTACATATCGCCATCCTCAAGTCCAATATGATCCTGCTTTTGAATCCACTTTTTTCTCCTACTTTCTTTTATACAATAATGTAATAATAACCAGGGATTAACTGATAACGTTATTACTTCGGCATATTGGCTGATATTAAATGCCGATTTGCCGATATATCAGCCTTTTCATTCTTTTTTTTTTTGTATTGAACATTTCGGACTAGTAGAGTTGGACCAATTTTTATTAAATCTCTTTTTTCTGGCCTTTCCCTTACTCTAATTTGGTGGCAAATACCAATATATTGGTCTCACGACCTTATTTTAACAAGATTATTAGTTTGATTTGTTCTTTTTTATCTATTTAATTTTTTTTGTGCACCACTGCACAATTTTCTGGTCATCCTTTTAAACCGATATATTGGCCTCAGATACTGAAATTCCGAAGACCAATATATCGGCCTCCCAACCATATTTTTTCAAGATTAGTTGAGTTTAATTTTTTTTCATTTTATTTTATTTTTTTGTGCTCCATTACCGCATCTTTTTCAAACCCGTATATCATTGGACAAAAAAACTTTTGGAAGAAGACAAGCACAAAATTAAAAAAAAAAATTATTAAACTATGAATCTTAAAAAAAGATAAAATATAAGATTAAATCTTAAGGCTGATATACTAGTCTTTATTCACATTTATGTTTATATCGATTCCATGGCGATTGGTAGCCTCATTTATTGTCAGTATAAATAATATTCTACTTGAAACTCTATGAATTGCAATAAAATAATGTCAAAAGGCCGATATATCATTTGGTAGAGGACAAGCACAAAATAAAAATTATGAAACCCCAAAATCTCAGTTTATTAAAATCTTTTTAAGATTAAAATTAA